GTTTTTCCATTCTTGGGATACTTCACTTAGTAGAATGGGTTCTGGCTTTATCCAGGATAACACAAGAGGTGCTAGATCACCATTGTTTTTTGTGGCTGAGTAGAACTCCATGGTATACATATACCACATGTTATTGATCCACTCATGTATTGGTGGGCACTTGGGTTGTTTCCACATCTTTGCAATTGGTTCTTGATGAATTTTTCATTTACTGACTGTGAATTATTGGTAATACAGACATAAGTGTATAAACTTTAATTTTCTTATAAGGCTTTACAACCCATAAAATCCTTTCAAGTATGTTTGAGATGATGCCCTGTTTTCTGACATTATGAGGACCCATGATGGGCTGGTTAAATCAAAAAAGGATAATGAAAAAGCTTTTTTGAGAAAGCTTAAAATGATACATGCTTAATGTACTGTATTTTTATTTAAATGGCTTATAAAGATAAGCATTATACACACCTCAGTAGGCTTGTTCACAAATATTGCTTCTGTGCCCCAGGGCAATGTGATTGAGACCTGGATATACAGGATCTGGTCTGCAGACCTGTGCTGTGGGCCCTGGAAATCAATCCCTGACCCTGCCAGGGAGAGGAGTACTGGTCTCAAGTCACACACAGGGTGCCCAGGCTGGATCAATGTGTCTCTGCCTTAGGATTTGCCCTGCCCTCCTGGAGTCACCAGGCAAGCGGCACCTGGGAGGGCTGGCAGGTAGGGAGCTCACAGTCTGAGTACCCCTCAGTCTGTTGTAGGGCCCCAAAAGGAAAGGTCCCATTCCCTGCAGATGCCTCTGGGGGGTGGCTAAATTGTCTCTCTTGGCAGCCACGGGCAGGGAAGGGGAAGGGGAGAATGAAGCAATATGGCGCCTGCCAATCAGCTCGGGTCTGCGGCCCAGGAGGTGCCCTGAGGGAGCTGGGAGCCTGGTGCCCTGTCTGCAAGAGGCTCACCGCTCACTGGTGGCGGCCATCTCTGGGCTGATGTTGGCAGGTCGCTCCAACCGCTCAGGAGCCACCAGCAGGCAGTCCGAGATGCAAGAGAGGGGAAATTTAACCGCTCCACCTACCCTTGTCACTGGTCTCCAAGCCTCTCAGAGGCCTTTCTCCTTCCAGTTCCCCTCCGCAACTTCTTCCCGTGGAGTCTCCTGTATTTTCAGGCACCCTTCCTTCTGACCCTCATCCAATCTGTGTTTGTCTGCCTGTTTATTTTTTTTACTTTCTTCTAAAATCTATCTTTCTTGCAGAGACACTCTGGCTGACGGTTTTTCTCATCCTCCATCTTGCCCTTCTCCAGAGCCTGTGCTTTAACCATCACTTTAAACTGCCTCTGAGGTAAGATGCAAATCAGTTGCATCTTTACCTGAGGATCAGAAACAGTGGGAAATGAAGATGGTAATGTCTCATTTAAATTGTGAGTAAACTGGTGCCGAGAAGGAAGGTGATTTGCTAACGTAATCACGTGCCATTGTTTTTTCTTCTGGCTGCGCAAGCTGAGTCTAATTTCCCCTCAGATGCTGGGCACCACTTTGAGTACATGAGCATCAGGCACGGGGAAAGAAACCCACTGTGAATACCATCCAGAAGCAAGAGGAGAGTAGCTAAAAAGCCCAAGAGGTCTCATGGAAGGACACTGTTTCTTAGTGGTTTTTATGTATATGTCAAATGATAGTTTATGGATTAGTCAAAAAGAGAGAGTGAGAGCACTAAATTTGAAGTGACTTTCCCATTCATGTAAGGAAAGCAATGGATAGACTTTAAAACATTAAAAAATTAAATTTCTTTAATTAACACATTGTAAAGTTATAGCTGTTTCACTAATAATTTTGTTATACTTTAGTATATTTTATTCTTTTATTTCTATTGTTTTCAGTTTTTTAAAAAACTTCTTACGTCTGTCTTGTCTTCACTCAGATTGTTTTAATTTAACGTAGTTAACCTCATTCGGTATACGGAATCTGAAGTATATTTCTGGCTGACACTTTATTTACTTAGTTTCTTGATATTTGAACCTATGACA